CTTACATTAGTTAGGGTCTGTCACTCAGGAAAGTGATTCAGGATAGGAAAGTGCTATTAATTTCTTCTCATATATTAAGCTTTACATATAGAATCATAGAATCATTTAGGTTGGAAAGGACCTTTAAGATCATCGAGTCCAACCGTTAACCTAGCACTGACAAGCCCGCCACTAAACCATGTCCTAACCACCACATCTACATGTCTTTTAAATATCTCCAGGGATGGTGACTCCATATGCCTATAGTCACTTCAATTCCCCAGTCAAACAATTCACCCCATCCCAAATCTCTCTCTTGCACATCTATCAGGCCAAGATCTGTGCCAAATGGCCCTTCATCCCCTGCACCCTTCTCCTCCTTCTAGGACATTTATTCCCATCCATGTTACATTGGTGGTGCCCAGGACAACCTTTTAGTGGTAGGAAAGGAGACTTGTGGAAGGACATGTTGAGGTGGAATTACTAAGAAGTTATGCATTGCTCACATTCCCCGTAAACTGATTTCTTTCTCTCTTGCCCTGCTGCAGAGACATGTCTCTGTCAGAGCATCTCTGGTAATATGCTATTTTATCAACAGATTGTGGCTGTTAAAGATCAAAATGGTGGTGAATGAGGCCTAGGGAGTCTTTTTTTTTTGTCTGACCAGCTTGAGAATCCACAGATTTTAACCTGATAGAGGTTTAGCAGCACTTTCCCAGAACACCTCTTCAAGGAATTGTCCTAAACTGACTTGTAGGGAGGGACAAACATCTTTTTTCCAAAAATGTGACATTTACAGATTTCTGTGTGTCATAGTCATGGCCCATGTTAAAACAGAAAAAATACCCGTTAAGGTTTCCTGAGATGTGGAAGCAGAATAAAAGGATGAGCTCCAGGCATATCTGACTTTTTCTGAGAAAAGCTTCCATTGGGTTTAACCAAAGCAGGCCACTTCAAATCTCATCCAAACTGTGCTGAGCAGCTGTGCTGACAGGCATGCGAATTACCATAGGAAGACAGGACCGGAAGGTCCTCTTGGGTCACCAAGTAAAGCCTCCTGCTAACATAGGCTGTTTTCTTCACAAACTAATCAAGCTCCATCTCAAATGCTGCTGGTTTGGGGCTAGTCAGTCTTGCTGGAAAGTCTTCCTAAACAACCGCAATGTGCTGACAGTCAGAAGCCTCCTATTCAATCCCAGCCTAAAGGTACCTGCAGTGGTTTATACTCCTTTGTTTTGGGATGAGGAGTATTCTGTAACTTAAACTGTTCTCCCAAGCCTAGCTCTTCATTCTCCTCAGCAATTATCTCAGATGTAGATGTCCACAGTGACTGATATGAATACTTTTATTATCCTCTCAAACATTTTCTGTTGGTAAGCTACTTAATCATAACATAAATTCTTAAACAGGGCTGAGTGCACGACCTTACACTTTGTATTTCATAATTCCATGCACCACACATTAATTCAGTGCTAATGGTTATGTAATTCTTCCTACAAGATAGCCTGATACCCTAGAAATTGGTGGTGCTTTCTACTTTTGTGTTCTCAGAAAATGCCATTAATATTTTCCTGAGTCAATAAGCTGATCCTAAAAAGAGCACTTCTTTTAGGACTGATCCTAAAATAGCACTTCCAGCCTTATATTTCACCTTTCAGGAAAATTCTGAAGACGTCACTTCCCTGGTTGCAAATTCCACATCTCGGCATGCTTGTGACTCCAGGAAGACAAAATCCACCATGGAAATGCAACAGTGAATTACCAGCTTTTGGTGGATTGGGGAATGGTGGTGTATGTGCCATGGAAGTACTAAGCGATGTATGTAAATCAGGCAGAGGTAAGACAATGGTAGTCCAGAAACTCATCCCTGAGGGTAAGTTATTGCACTGCAGCTGTTAGCTTGGGTTAACACTAACTGGTGCTTTTTGGGTGCTGTCATACGCAGCCAAATTGGAGCATGAGTAGACGCTGAGTGCACTTCTGCCCTGCATCGAGTTGCCCTTCACTTGGTGGCATTTCAGGAGAAGCTGGTAGAAAACAGGCTTCATCCAGGTGGCTGAGAGAAGACTAAAAAGGGCGGCTTGGCCAGCGTACGTCATGCACACACAAAGAGGTTGGAAGGTTGTTCCTTCTGTGATTGAAGTGTCAGTTTTATTCATGCACATTGTTAGCACCTATTACATGCAATTGTCCCCTGAGAAGTGGCTGGTGTCACACTCGACTCTCGCATCGGCTGACCCATCAGAGTAGGGGGCACCAGGGACTGCCTTGCTGCCCAAATTATCCTACATCATCTTAATAATTCCTGTCCCAGTGATTTTCCTTATTAACCTCAGTAACATAAATGTACATAGGAAATATGTTAAGCCCTTCATAAAACTTAACAGTAAGCATAATTATTCAGTTAGTAATTTCAGAAGCTCTTTCTTACAAATGAGGGGGAAACTATTTTATTATCTGTCTGGTTTGGCTTTACCTTCTAAAGTGGCTTCAATGACTCTAAAACTGCCTTCTGACAAGAGTAGCACAGTATTATTGTGCAAAAGGCAGTTACACAACACTTAATTTTGCAACTATGCGGTAAAGTTTAGTTCTTTGAAGATGACTCAAGTATCAGCTGACCGGCAGTAAACATAGTTTCATGTGGCACTGCACTGGCCCAAGACATTTTCAGGATATACGAATACAAACCAAAGATTTAAGATTTACTAGAATTCCTATCAACAGCTGGACTGCTCTGTAACATGAAGCTGCCCAGGGCCCTTACTAACTTTCCTTGCTTTTCTTCCACCATTCCTTTGAATTTATGTTAGTGAGGCTCGGTAAGACCAGCAAACCAAATCACAGAATCGCAGTGGTTGTAACTCTTCCAACGCAAGTCTGCAGCCATTACTTTACAGTAGTTAAAGAGCAGGTCTGCTCTGTAACACTTAGCCTTGCAGTTGGGAAAGTGACCACAGACACTACCGTAAGTACTGGCTTATGTGACAGATAAAAGTATTTAATCCAGATGAGCGTGCAGATCTGCTACATAGGGGAAAACGAGACAGGATTTCCTCCATGCCTTCAGAGACTAAGAAAGCATTCAGAGTCCAAATGAGATACAACCTCAGGATATTTTTCTCATCAGAACTGACTCAAAATGCAGGGGAGAAACAAAGATCCTGGCAAATTAAAAGAGAAATTCTGCTGGCACAGATTGCAACCCAGTTACAGGTAAAAGATTTAGCGCTCGAGTCTTCATATTTTAAAGGGTTTGTGGTGCTTTTCGGCTACCAGAATTTTTGAGTCTGATGATGTTCAGCAAATAAGTGAATTTGTGAATTCAATCCTCTCTCACTAAAGAAAACAAGAATTTTGCTGATGCCAGAGGAATAAGATGACCCCTCTATCTGCTAATCAACATCATGAAATCTCCATGTAACGCAGTTGACACTGGATGAGTCTCATGATTCAGAATCTGTTGTTCTTTTCACACCTATGAATCATTTACTCTTTTTTTTTTTTGAGTAATCTACAGACAATAATCATTCCTTACAGAATTGTTGGCTAAAAAGCATAAAGCTAGCATTTTTGCTTTCAGCTGACCAGTAACTTCAGCTTATCCAGGCTGACAGAGGTTCTCAATATCTGGTTTTACATCTGGGACAGTGGTTTTTGAGCACTGAAGATTAAACATATGTAGATATCTGAACCAGATTTTATATTTAACAGAACTTATGCACACTGATGAGTGTTAATATCTAAGGGTGTCAGATGTTGCAAATTCACATCTTTCAATAATCCATGAGTATTTTAAATGTTAACATTTTTCCCAGAATTTACCATGTATTATTTTCATGTTTCATTATCATACACAGAATCTATTGTTTAATGGCAGGGGGAGATTAACTTTCTGGATCTCAGGCTAAACTCCCCAAAAAGATATGCAGAAAGTAATAATTTGCCCCAACTCCTCTAATCACATTTAGTTCCAAGAAAAGTCTATAGAAATGGGCAGTTAGGGAAAG